ATACTGGTTTCAAAGGATTGGTGGTACCCCAAGAGCAGGGATACGAGAGAGGAGGCAACATGATATCCTATAGTAAGAGAACAAAAGTAAGTCAAGATGTCAGATTCATTAGTGTCAAATGTGGTTAGGTATAAAGGTGATCGATCACTTACATCATCTTTTTTGTGAAATGGAACTCCAAAATACTCGGTTAAAGATTCATGCTCGTCCTTTTCAGAATCAGTTCGGCGACCTCGAGGTTTAACTTTGATGTTTTCGTCTTCGGAATCGGCAGCAAGGGTTGCTTTGGTGACAAAGGACGAGCCAGTAGCTGGTAGTATCTAATGTTCCAAAGGGTCACACAGTGAAACATAACAGTAAGTAAATGAAGAACTCGAACAGATATGAAAAGGTGATATGCGATTCGATGCCTTACCTGTTGACTTTTCTTGGGGTTACTCTTCCTTTTTTTATTCTTACTTCTAGCTTTACCCTTCTTCTTCTCTTTGACCGTCAATGTCACTCGGAGTCAGGTCATTTGATTCTGAGTCTTCTTCAAGATTGATGATCGTTACCGATGATGCATGCTTGCGTTTTGAAGGACCGGGGCTGGGCTGTGTTAGACTGTCTGAAAGGCGCCTGCGAGAGTCTCGGCTTGGTGTTAACATGCCAGGTTTCGACGGAGGCTGACGCGAGCGCTGAGGACGGCTGACTGAAGAGGGTTGGTTGGATGGTGAGGCGGTGGATCGAAGTGATTGAGAAGGCATCTTGACAAGTGATCGAGGTACTTTGAGATTGAGGGACTTCAAAGCTATTGAATGGAGTGTAGATAACGAACGGGTAGAGGATAAGAAGATTGTAAAGAGGAAAGGTGAAAATAACTTGAAGATGATCAATAGAAAGGATTAGAAAGTGTTATATAAAGGGGAAGAGAGGAGTAAACGATTATTATTGGAATATATAAGATTGATGTATTCGAAAGACGGTTTTATAGACAATCCAACGATTAAGAAAGTGGAAAGTGAAGGATAAGAAAGAGATCAAAGAAATTGATAGATAAAGAAAAATATACAATGAATGTGATGTTGACAAATGGATGGTGACTTAGTAATAGTAACCGATTGGGAATTTGAAGGATCGGTGAGGGTGCAGAAGAAACCATTGAATCAGACCTACTTATATATATACCTCCAAGATGATAGCATGAAACCCCCTTCCTTCGACGAGGGGGGTCCTTTCCGGTCATGTTGTAGCCGATTTGGGTTGTTTTAATGGAGGGATAGGCCGATTTGGGTGAAGGAGGTGTGATCATGGAGTGGTATTGAAGGGAGGTTTCAACGCAGGGGTGTACTAGAATTGGATGTGGTGGTGATGGGCTTGACCCTGTCTCCTTTGGGTTAAGTATGCCGCTGACAACCTGCGGAGCGGGTCAGCGCCCCGTAGCGCAGCTTGTGCAGCGGTCGGGGCCAGCTGCACAGCTGGAGCGCAGCGGGTAAAAAATCCCGGGTCCTGGCGGGTATGTCAGCGCAGCTTACTTGAGCTGCGCTGACGGTCCTCTGAAGCGCTGCTGCCTGCCGCTGCGCAGCAGCTGGCAGCGGCGGGCAGCAGCGCAACTGGTCCAACGTTGTTGCAACACGTCTCACGCTCACCAACCTCACCCAACTTGTCCATCTTGCTAGCGCAGTCTACATCCGCAGTGACAAAGTGTTTGACTTCACCTCACGCGATTACCGTATGGTTCCGTTTCTTGAGCTCGCCCTAAAGCTCAAAATCAACCCCTCTGACTATAGATCAGTGCTATGGAACCTCACTTTCCCATCACTTTCATCTGTGTACCTCGATTCAAGCGGCCTAATACGCACCTACCAACTTGACAACAGTCTCAAGAACAAGACCAAGGTGCATGAAGTTTACCTAACCCCACCCACTTTGGTCTGTCTTGTCTGTCATCAGCCAAAGCATCCTTTGCTCTCAAAACTCCCTCGTGTGAACGGGTATATGTACGACCTCGATGGTATCCACTTGGCCGAGTTCCATACCTGGGCTTGTTTAGGTATGTCTGGTTTGATTGGCGCTTTTAAAATGCATTCAGGGATACTAACAACCAATTGAGTACAGACTGTGGTACTTCATACCGGCCTTTGTACTACACAGCCAACAAAAGGAGGATATATTACACTGACGCTCAGGGGGCACATCCAGATTACTACCAGGTCCATTGTCACGTTTGCCATGACAAAGCGACTGGGCAGGTCCTTTCCACAAGCGGAAATGCTTGCACAGTTAGTAATTTCATTCCGTTTCATTCCTACCCGGTTACACACGCTGCTGATAGCCCAAAATTCCTTGATCCTTGAAGCATGTCCCACTTCAATTTAGTCAACTTATACAATCTAACCCATGTACAGGGCCAGAACGTACTAACTGTCAACCTAGAGAGCAGAATAAACACTCTCTAGGAAGACATAGTAAATCCAATTGTCCAAAAACCCCTATAGAAAATATACATATATACATTTGATCAAAAAATAAAATCTACTCCCAAAACCTATCTGCATAGCTTTGAGAGATCACAACTCACACTCAAGTTTCAAGAGTGAAACACCAATACAATAAAAAAAACAACCCTTAATGATGATTCACATGATCACATACCAGGTGAACACATCATACAAAGAAGTCTGAATCAACCAATCGTCAGTTCCCAGAACTAATTCCAAACTGGTCAAGAAACTCGGTTTCTTGAGCAAACTGGGCAGGTGTGACAAAAAGGAAACCAACCAAAAACCCTTCAAACCCTGACTACAGATCCCTTGAACCCTGGCCGGTTAAAACTGAAACACTACTACCCAGTACCTGGATGACAAGCTCAGAACACTTGAACGACCACCGACTAAATAAATTGAAAACAAGTATAAAAGACCCGCCTTTTTTTGCTCAAAAGCAAAAGGGGGATCTTATATCCGAACCACACAATCACACTTTAGAATTCATAGCTATAAAACTTTGAAAACAAACCAGCTCTACAGATTTAGATTAGATTTAACAATTACAAATTGTGGTCTTCTTTATTTGCTCCTTTTGTTTGTTTAAAAAAAACTTTATTGTTCTGACTTAACTAAAAGCTGTCGAATTCCTGTTCACAAATTTAAGACATTTCACTAAGAACCGTCACAGGGGCAAAATTAGATGCTCACATAGGTGTGAGCGTTGAAATTTTTGTGTTTTCTTCAATGTTTGTTCAATTTTGCTTTCCTTTTCTTTCCCTTTTCTTTCCAATTCCTTTCTGCTTGTCATCTGATTATGTGATCAACAGGGACTGAGCAGACAAACTAAGCCTTCCTCAGGCCTTATTCCTGAGCAATTAAGTCTGAGGAAGGGCTGATCCATCTGCTCAGTTTATCTCAGCTGCTCAGCTGATCCTGAGTGGCATTCCCTGGTTCAGTAGGCTTCAAGGGACACCACTTATGATTAGCTTAGGGGCTGAGCTGACCTGAGTATCCTCTTGACTAATTCTCCGCAGCATCCCTTGGATGGATCACATAGGTCCAGCCTTTCCTCAGGCTTCATGGCTCCAGAATGAAGCCTGATGCCCATCTGCTCAGCTATCCCTCAGTGGCATTCCTCGATCAGAAGGATCCAAAGGATTTCACTGCTCATTGGCTGAGGGGCTGCTCATCTAGTCCTCAGGGGCATTCCTGGGAGAAGGATCCAAAGGATGTCACTGAGTATTGGCTGAGGGGCTGCTCAGCTGCTCAGCTGCTCAGCTAGTCCTCAGGAGCATTCCTGGGATCAGAAGGATCCAAAGGATGTCACAGAGGACTAGCTGAGGGGCTGCTCAATTGATCTCAGCCCCTCAGTGTGAGCAGCTTTATCCAGGGGACATCACTTAGGATTAGCTGAGCGGCTGAGATAAACTGAGCAGGGGGATGGCTCTTTTATGAGGTTTCATTCCTTAGCAAGGAAGTCTGGCCCATCAATGACCCAGCCAGGGGATGATACTGAGTATTTCCTGAGCATATCAAATGGGACGGCCCCTGTGCAGGCCTTCACTAAGAAATGAAGCCTGAGGAAGGTGTAGTTCATGTGCTCATTGTAATTTTGACCAAATTGCTGAGTATTCAGTGACTCATGAGCTGATCCTGAGTACTCATCTGGACTCAGTTATTGCTCATCCAAGATGGAAATGAGCCTTCTCAAGAAATGTCAAGCAAAATGTGAGCAAAACAGGCTGATCACCTGAACACAACCAAAATTGTGAATTGAATGAATCTGAAAGAAAATGAATCTTTTTTGGAGACTTCAAGAAAGTCTACAACGCTCACATACATGTGAGCATCAATTTTGGCCCCTGTGCGTATCCTCAACTTATCGTCAAATATTTTCATAGATTGTAGTGATTTCAATACTAGTTATCAACGTCGGGCCGGTGCGTTGCTTTTGATGAGCAACAACGAGCAACGCCGAGCAACGGCTATGTCTGCGCAACGTTGAGCAACGCACTGCCTATGACATTTGCCCGGTGCGTTGCTCAGGGAGGAGGCGGTCATGTCGCAGTTGCGGTGCGTTGCTGGCTACGCACCGAGCAACGCACTGCCTGCTACGGGCTAGCCCCGGCCTTCCCGTATTGCCAAGTTGAGTCAAGTACCTCCCAATCCATCACCTAGCCTCCACCGTCTTACCAATTCAGCTCCCTCCAACACATCAGTTACCCCTTGGAACCCCTTCTCAACACAATCATGACCTGGTCTAGGCCCCTGGCCATCCAGAATCGACTCAAATATACTCAAACACAAGATCCCAGTTCTGATTTATTATCTCTTCAATCGAAATGTTCTTCTCATTCGCTTATCATCAATAATCCTGATAGACTACAATTGATCTTATTTCACCAGTCTGACTCTCATCCTCTCCCTCAAATTGATCATCCCAACATTCATCCCAAGATACTACAATCACTTTCATATTCTTTGTCCCCAGCTCACAATTTCACTCACAATCTTAGATTATCGCTTCTCGTAATGGGCACCCTTGACTCAGACAATGTCTCCGAGTCTGACACATCAGAATCGTCTCAACATGTCTTACCTACTCCCCTTCGTCGCTCAACTAGACCACCAACCCCACGTAAGAGTTTACCCGGGATGGTCCAGCCTTCCGCCGATAGTCAAATTACTGTACCCTTACCTCAAGGCCCTGGTTCAGTCTCTTCGCGCAAGAGTCGATCACAGAATGTTAAAACTTCTGATAGTCAAAGTCTAACCATCAATTCGAGTCCCCCTGGTTCTCAACCATCAGTACCCCGTCGAAAGAGAAAAAACACAGCATCACAAGCGACAGCAGCCCAAGTGAGTTCACAAGCCTTAAGTTCAAGTTATAAGTTTTAATGAGGATATTCAAATAGCTGATCAACGCATTTGTTTATGCTAACAGGGCTCTCAACGTGACGCACCATCTGACACGGAAATGAATCAGGATTCCAATAACGGTCTCACCGATCGTCAGAAGACCAAACGGACCAAGGTGTTGCACACCGCACCCAAAGAGCCCGAGTATGCTGCTGTAGTTGACTATTTTGGTGTACCTGAACACAAGCCAAATGATGTAAGTGATTTATATTAAACAAGTAAGTGACATATATTTACTCACACTGATTGTTTTGCAGGATAAATCGAAGAAACCTCTTTCGTGGCCATGTCTATGGTGTAAAAAGATGGTTCGAGTTGTTCCGGAATCACTGAACAATCTTAAGATACACCGGGATGGCTACAATAAGGGACGCATATGAATTCCTTGTCGAGCTCGGCAGGAAGCTATCGACAGTGGCATCAGTCTTCCTCTAACGGTTTTTGAACAACAAATGATGTCGAACGGGCAACAACAAATGCCAGATTTCTTTGACAGCAAGGTTCCTTTCAAGAACGAGGTCCTCAACCAGATCCTTGCTGTGTGGATTCTAGCTGAGGCTCTCCCATGGAGTCGAATTGAAGACTCCCTCCTACGCCTTGCATTTAAATATGCTCGGCGTGATGCGAAGATCTTTGGTCGAACGTGGGTTGCAAGAGAGACCGCCGGTATGTATGTATCCTTTCAAGACACCGTCTTAAAAGAGGTCCTCGTAAGTAAATCAATTAATTACTTTGAATTGAATTAAAAAGAAACTAATGTCCTCTTCTTTGTTACTGTAGAACAATACGGGCCAATTCACTTTAATTCACATTGGTTGGACGATGCACAACAACATCCACGTGTTCTTAGGAGCGGCCGTCACGTTCATTGATGAGGACTGGAATTACCAGGTTCGTCATCTAACCTTGAAGTTAATAGCTTGGCATCACAAAGGAATCTGGCTCGCACAGCCATTGGTTCACTTCATGAAGAAACACAAACTACAATATAAGATAAGTACCTTTCTTTTCATTTTTCATATCTTTCAGAAGACTAATTTTTTTGCCACCCTCACATGCTTGCCCAGGTGACCGATTCTGGGTCAAATAACATCACGATGGCAAACGAGATGCACACGCAATTCTCAATGCACGAGGAAGACCAAATGGACTCCGAGGTTACCTCTGAAGAAACTTCTACTTCGAAACTGTCATACACCTGGAACCCAAAAACGGACTACGCTCGATGTTTTCTCCATAAAATCTCTTCGACGGTTAAAGGCGGCTTGGAAGAACTGGGTCGTAAGACTTCCTCACGATCTCAGGACCGTGAAGAAACTCTTGGTTTATTTCCTTTCTCAGCCACTCTCCCTGTCATTGCCGAGGAGGATGAAGAATCCGATCTTTCCACACCGATTGTAATTGACATACCCGAAGAAGAGACTAATGTACCAGATGAGGTTGATACCGATCACGATTCTGAAGGTGACGCCACCGCCAAAGCAGCTCCTGACTACGATGAAGAAGAGGAGAATCAGGCCGACACGGATGATCCTACCATTGCGCTTGAAGCCCCAATCCTCAACGGGTCTCACACTAACTCTTCCAGGAAACACGCAAACAGATTAAATAGCTTGATTAGCAAGGTAATCATCTATTTTTCTCGAATGTTTCTCCAGTACTCTCTTGTCTTCAAATATACTTCTTGTCTCCAACTGATCTGCCATCATTCCCTTTGTTGAAATGGATACAGGCAAACTTTGTGTCACGTCGGGTTGCTCGTTCGGCGGTATGGAGGCTACACTATTCTAGAATCGCGAAAAGCATGAATTTGAAACTTCTGCCGTTGACTCCTGGTTATAACGCCACCCGTTGGAATGCAGAATTCGACTCGCTCAACCGATTGGTGCAGGCACGTAAAGTGAGTTGAATCTCACCATTGCAACTAACTTCAAGTTACAATAACTTATGTTCTTTGTCATATCAGGTTGTCAACAGACTCTTAGCTGATGACCTCGACCTAATCAAGATGAAGAAACGCCGAAAGGGCAGCAAGAAGCCTCGTGGATATTTCCACGAGATCTTTTTTTCACCAGATGACTGGACCGCCCTTGAGGAATTGACCAACGAACTGGTGGTAAGTTTGAATTCGTAACTAAAGCTTGGCTTTGATAGGCGCTGACTTTGAGGGTTATATCAATACTTTTAAATTAAAGCCCTTCCTAGATCTCACCAAACGGATGGAAGGCGACAGCCCGAACGGCTGTTTGGTCATTCCTGAGTTCTATGCACTCAAATGTCATCTAGCAACTCGGGTCAAGGAACTTACTATTGGAGACGCACTTCTTCCAATGATCCAATCAATGCAAGCACGTGTAGATAAGTACTTTGAAGAGGCGTTGCAGTGTGATACAACGGTTATGGCCACCATCCTCAATCCATTCTTCCGACTTCAATTTTTCAAACAAGCGTTTGGACTGGAGCATGAAATGTCTAGGCGGGCACGCAAGCTACTTCAAGATAAGTTTGACAGTCGCAAGTTGAAGCTTTCGAAAGATCAGCCCGCGCCTATTGTTATCAACACACCTTCTTCAGTGAAAGCGAACCAAACCGGACCATCCAATCTCTTTCAACTATTCAAGTCTCAAGGCGCTGGGGTGGAGTCAAATGAGATCGCGGCGTACCTCAAGGGCGCTTTCCCAATGTCGGTCAACGACAATGCACGGGAATCCAAGGCGGTCTTGCCGTGGTGGAAGGTACGAGGCTCCGTTTTTGCTCGTTTATTCAAAGGGGTATCAATACTTACTGATGGTTTTCATTATCAACAGGAGCACTGCAGTGCTTTTCCAGTCCTGGTGTCTTTGGCTAAGGATTACTTGAGCCTATCCGCAAGTTCCGCAATTGTGGAACGAACGTTTTCCGCGGCCGCCAACAACTGCTCTTCGGACCGAGTACGACTGGTACCACGAACAATCGAATGTTGTGTAGGGTCGCGGTTATGGTGGCGTTGTGGAAAGAAGATTCACTCGAGTCCTTTTTTGGACCTTTATATATAGGTTTTTTTACTTTCTTTTTTCATATAGCTGGGGCAGTCTCACTCTCAAGCTCAGCTCAAAGCAGTTGGAATTTCGCTTTTGGGGCTTTTTTTCATTACCACTATTCCAGCAACCTGGGCAAAACTAAAACAACAAACTAAACAACAACTAGACTAGAAACTACATATTCAAAAATCGATTTTGAGGGTCTTGGAACCAAAAAGGGAACCTAGACTGAGCCAAAAGAAGGGGTAGTCAGCAAAGGAAGGGTTACAGAAGGGAAGAAGGAGACAGGCTTACCTAGATTGGCCAAAATCGAAAATCGAAATCGATTTTGAAGCCAAGAGTGGAAGGGGCTGTTGTGAAGACTAAGGAGGTAGTCAGGATTAGAAAGATTGAAGCTAAAAGAAGAAAAGAGGTGAACTTACCTCGATTGGTCCAAAAGAGCGATATCGAGTTCGATTGGGAAGCAAGGCGATGGGGAGAGAGGTGATAGTAACGAGTGGACTGGGCAGGGCGTGATTAAGCCACGTTCCGATTCGGAAACGATTGTTCCGATCGGAACGGTCAAAATGTAACAAGGGATAGCCTAGAAGATGAACAAAAAGAGAAAACGAAGTAAATAAAGAATAAGTAAGCGAATCAATTAGAAATCAAGAAACGGTCAGAAGAAAAGAATGATAGAAACAAATAAGGAAACTTACATTAGGTTGAAGATAGGTTTGAAGGAACCGGTAGTTGAGTATAAGAGGAGGGGTTGTGTTTTCTTTTTTCTCGTGTGTGTGTGTCGTATCGTATCGGATCATCTCGAATCGTAGTGGTTTGTATCAAAGTGTGTTAGTTGTTTCTTTTCGTTATCGTGAGATCGAATCAAAGAGTAAAACCATTAGATCTTTTTTCTTTTCTTGAAAGAGGAAGTCTCGAGTAAATAAAGACAGGGAAGAGTAGGAAAATAAAGGCTTACCTTTATTTTTGATTATAAGGGTGTTGAAGAGTGTTATCGTGGTTTTTCTTATACCCTTATATTGGGAATTTCCAATTTTGGATTTATATTTTATTTTATTTTATTTTTTTAAGTATCTTACTTAACTATCCTAGGGTTTTTGACCTAGGGTATTAAGGTGAATTACACTGTTACAAGTGTAATTCCCTGGGTTTTGAAGCTGTGAAGGTGTGTAGGGTATTGTTGGGACCTGTAGAAGTTGAAAATCAAGGTTTTGGAGGGATTTTCAAAGTTTTATTATTTTTTTACTTGCTGCGGGAAAGTTTTTTGGAGAACTGCATTGGGGAACGTAGTAAAAAACAGCTTGTTTACATCTGTTTTTGAACCGTAGGACCTTTCCGGGGATTCTTAAAGCTGAAACAAAGCTTGTAGATTGGATATTCAAGGTCGGAAAGCTTAGTTTTGGTGGTAGAAAGGTTGGCAAGAAGTGTCTCACTGTATTTTTGAGGGCAGCTTAGCGGCGTTTTGGTTACGGCTCTTGGCGGTCTATCCGACTTGGGTTGTTTCTTCCCCTCGAGGCTCTGCCTACGCTCCACAGCGTAGGAGTTCTACAGCGTCAGCGTGTACCATTAGCACACAAATATACTGAGGTTAACGATGCGATTGAGGCATTTGGGGGTGGTAGACCTTCTATGAGGACTAGGCAGTAGCTTGACGTTGTTTTTTTTCTTTCTAACATCTTTTTGGCTTTCATATTTGATTCTCAACGTATGCCCAATTATGTTATGCTATGCCTCCTTTTCTTTATCTATGCTTTTCTATGCCCCCTTTTTTCTAATTTGTTATAAATGTGGTCAATACTATATACAATTGATGTTTATCTCATTAAACAAGAAGTTGCTTTGCAACGGCCGGCAACGCAGTCTGGCAACGGGAGCAATGTCTCGGTGTGTTGCGCGCAACGCAACACGCGGTGCTTTTGCCCGTTGCGTAGTGAGGGTTGAGTTAAAAAAATCATAAGTTGCGTTGCGCGCAACGAGAAGTTGCGCACAACGCAACACAACGGCCCGACGTTGTAGTTATCATCTCATTCTGTAGAAATAGATAGCCCTGGAACTAGTACCCTGGTACTAATTCGTAGAAGACCTCTGATTGTAGATCAATTAGTGAGTACTCTTTTTTACAAGTTGTTGAAATAATTATAACAGCCAGTTTAGAATATATTAACTTGTTTCACCTCTAGGCTCAAATGTATCTTGATACTCTCAGTATTGCAACAAAGCCTGCTGGACTAACATTGTAAGTCTGTTAAAATTCATCCCTGACTCTTTCAAAAGACAATCTTTAGAGACCCAGGCTGACACCAACCCACCAAGGACAATTGACTCCTAAGATTTCACAAGAAGTTACTTGCGACAGTGTTGATCTGTTCAGTTTACTAGGAAAATGCGCTCGTCGTGACACTGTGCTCTATGTTGGCACCACCGGGAAAAACACTGACAGATTCTTACCAGCCATGGTCCAAGAGCTATACCACATTGCAAATCACGGATCTGCTTATTGCGACCACTTTTTCTCTTTGTGTGTAAAAACATACAGAGTTGAAGGGGAGGGGGCTATCAAAGGTCAGCTTCAAGTTATATCCTGACAAACGAGCACTCATGCTGAATAGTTCTGTCACTTATACAGTCATATGCGCAGTGGTCACCGATGGTCTAACCATTGGCCACTGGAGGAGTTCTGCGTCCTCAGTGCAGCTGGAAGATCTGGCTCATTGCCAAGGCACTCTTCCTCTCAATGGCCCTTGCCTCAACCTGTTACCTGAAGTCACTTCTTAGTTTTGTGCCAAGCACAAGGTAAGTTTGAAGGGATGGTGAATTGCGCAGCCATGCACCGCCCTGGCTGCGCCTGGGTCAAAAGTATGTCTGAATGAAAACCACATCACAGCAATGGAAGCCTTTCAAGAAAAGAAGAAGAAAAACTTCTCCCTCAAGTCCATGCTCAACCAGCCTGGTTCTAATTTACCTTCCGATCCATTGGTGCACCTAAATCCACTAACCGCCAAAATTATTGATCTTGACAAAATCTTACAGGCCAACAAGTTGGACTGCGCCCACAAGGCTACTTGTGATGGCGGCAAGGCCAAGCCTAAAGGATCAACATCTTTGAGTCAAAACCGCACACACAACGATCAAGTGGTCGTAGGAACTTGTAGAATCATACTCTGCAGGCGCACATTCTGCAATGCGGAAGCCCCAAGCGCTTTGAGGGTAAGCAATCTGGCTAAAACCCGCTGTTAGATTGATGACCATTTGACAATCTATTTAACATTACCTTTGTCAGGATTTACTGGTCAAAGCTTTCCCCAAAAGGCTGCCGGAGGTCATCTTTCATGACAACGCCTGTAATCTCCTGCAAGTCATTCACAACGGACAAACCAATCCAGCACCATTCAAAGACACCATCATCCCTGTTGACCCTTTTCATCATTTCTCTCACAAGGAGAGCAACAAGTTTCATCAAATTTACACCAACCCAAAATTATTCCCTGACCTGCAAGAGGATGGAAGCTGGATCTTTAATGCCTCCGCTGGGGAATTGTCTAACATCTGGTACGGTGGCTTTGCTTGCATGTGTCGAAACATGCAAGCCACACGTTATGAGTTTTTTCTAGAGGAAATGGTGGAGTCACGTAATGACTGGCTGACAGATGCTTTAGCTTGTCATGCAAATGTTGAGTACATTGGCATTGGAAAGTCATGAGTTCAAATTGGGTATCAAGACTAAAATGAAAAGTATGTGTAATTCCTTCACTCCTTACTAATTTAATTTGGAATTACTAATATCACAAGCCACTTCATTTGTTCCAAGTGCAGCTCAAAAAGTTTGTAAAACCAGCCTTTCACTACCACTAACAGATATTACAAAGGACGTGTGACAGATAAATGTATTTTAGAAAGACTCATGTCCAGTTAACAAACACTTTCTTCCAAAAATCCTTCATTAACTTTCACATGGATTATTCTGGCACATCAAACAACCTACCTGACCTCAGCCTTAGTGTCTACTCATCTTTCCTGCCGATTTCTTCAGAATTAACTGAATTCTTTCTATTTTTTGTGATTATTTGTTTTGATTGATCATTTATCTATGGATAAAGATACATGATGGAAAAATAATTCATCTACAAAGGGTTGATAGTGTAAGCTTGTTTTTAAATGCCATGATGCACATGGCAAAGTGCAGCCAGCCAAATCTATCATTGACCCAAAGTATTTTGGGATAGTTGGTTTGGTCTATCTGCCGGTCTATCTGCCTACCGTACCAATCCCCATTCTGATGTACCCTGACAACTGGTCATGGTGTACACTGCGTTAAATGACGTGACACATCCTGCCCTGCGACAACTGGTCACATCACGCGGCACACTACTTGGTGTGAAGCGACATGCTAGAGGGTGGCGTGCGTCATCAACTCTTTGGTGGCGACGTAAGCCTTTGGGCAGCGACATCAAGTCTTGCAAAGCAACCATGAACCTTGGGGCGCGACATATATGCCTGTGGGGCAACATTTACAATCATGTGTGACGACATATATATGTGTGTGACGACATATATATACATGTGACAACATATATATATGTGTGACTACATATGTGATGACATATGTACATATGTAGCAGCAATTATACATGTGTGGCACTGGCAACGTTTATATTTACATGCAAGAAATCATTTGCATTCATGATTGAGTCTAGTTTGATAACAGAAAAGAAAACTTTCTTGAACAAGATGAAAAAGAACATATTGAGGAAGTAAAAAGGTTCAGAGGATGAATCTATTATCGGAACCTAAGGGGAAAGAATGACAAACAGTTTTAGTAAATGGGACGAATAGTTTGAAGAGATTGGAAATACTTACATTTGAATGTAAGCTAATAACAAAGCACCGCCAGAAGCCACTGTACCAACAACATGTTGTAGACTTCAACCGTAAAAAAGAACAAATAAGAATCAATCTTGTAGTGAAGGATTTCTCAATAAGTTTTACATACATATTGTATTTGACACTTGCCAAGGTTGTACGTGAATTACCGATTCCACCTTTGATTCTTGTATCTACTTCTTTGATCTTTAATTCACGTAAACCTAATCCATCATGTATTCTACCATTTTCTAACTTTGTATCTGATCTAACCCAAGCTTGAGTACAAGTCTTAAGAACCAAAAACGAAAAAAAGGTTAACAAATTTGAAAGATTTAAAAGGATCATTTTTTTATGAAGATTGAATTCATGTTTACGATTTCTTCTCTTCATCTTTTTTTTTAATTTTTCTAATTCACTTAATAGTCTTTCATTTTCTGATTTAAGTAATGTGAAATCTGATTGTTCTACTAATTGAATTTTAGATTTAAGTTTTGCAAACCAACTATGTGAGTATATTGTTGCTAAAAAGAACAAAAACATCAATAAAACGGTTTTCATCAAAATTTGGTTTAAAGAGAAGTGATTTTTTGATTTACTTTTTTGATTTGATTTCTAGTAACTAAACCAGTGATTAAACCTTTAATAGATTGATCAATAACTTGTTCGATAGCTAAAATCATCCCTTCTGCTTGATTTCTTGAAAGTCCATCTTTTTGTAATTGAGTAACAAATTGATGTGAATCAAAATGAGCAGATTGATGATTGATGTCTTATTGAAAACCCTTTTCTAGACAGGATATAATCAGAATCATGATTATCAATTTGTTTTTTTAAAGATTAGGTGGTTAGATTGAATGAGATGATAAGTTTTTTGATTGCTGAAGCAAATGCTACCTTTGGGGAATGGCTGCTTTGGTTTTGTTCACCAGTATAGGCACAGCAAATACCTATTCAGCTGTCATTGTTTTTGGTGACAAGTATTCAGGTAAGGGTTTTTGTCGTTTTCAACTCATTTTGAAACTTTGATGATTGACATCAACATGTTCAAATTTTTAGATGATGGAACCAACCGCTTTTGAGATCCCCCTTGACAAAAATATTCCCGTTAGTTTCTTTTTTTTTTTTTCACTCGGTTTTCATCATCTATGATTTTTTGACCGGATTGTGGATTTTTTTAAGATGTTTCATTGGGTGATGAGCTTAGGGCCAAACCTTGGACAGAACAACTCATAGACATACTTTACTCCAAAATGCCCACCCCCCTATTCAATTACGTGGAGTTGAGTAATGATTTTGAAAGTCTGAAGGATGAGCAAACCTATACAACAAAGCATTTCAAGTGTGACCAGTTCACACTTACATAAGTGGTGTTGTATAAATGCTTTTCAAGTGTGACCAGTTCACACTTATGGAAGTGGTGTTGTATAAATGCTTTTCAAGTGTGACCGTTTCACACTTACATAGGGTAAGTAGCACAAAAACATAGATGTTACACAGCAATTCATGTTGGGATAGTCAAGTGTCATACGAAGTCCTGTCTAAGATTACAGTCCTGCGTGACTTTTCCAATGTCCTGTCAAGTCCTGTGTGACTATCTCCTATGTTCTTATTTCATTTCATACTTACATAATATTTCATATTTCATTTCATAACTGTCTGCTTAGCAACTTATGCGTCATGTGACATCTAGCAGTGTAATACTTACTATATAAGCCAGCTGGAACAGCGCAGGAAAGGTGCTCTCTCTTCACCTTTCCTTGCTTCTTCTCTTGCTGTTCCAGGTAGGCAATAGTTTCATCTTTCACTCGTTATCTTCATTATTTGCAATAACAAAGATCTAAACCTTTCCTTGCTTCTTCTCTTGCTGTTCCAGCTTGCTTCAAACCTAAGAGGTTATGAGCCCGTCGTTACCTCCTGCAGTACAGATCTGAAACTCTGCGAATACATTCTAAATCTATAATCAACTACATAGTAACTTTAATCTTCAGTCATACTCCTCTTCTCTCTATTATTCTCTATTCTTCGATTTGGAAAGGTCCGAAGAATTTTTTTTATATCATGTCTGTCTCCACGGATGACTCAAAAGAAATCCGAGTCACCGGTATAACCTTCCTCAAGCCACCAGGCGACAAATCCAACTACCTCGACTGGGAATTCAAGGTTGAACTGGCCCTTGAGGCAGTTAAACTCTCCTATGTTTTATCACCGATTGCTGTCAAAGATCACTCCAACAACTGGAGTGATGACAATACGAAAGCCTGTGCTCTCATTTCTAGAGCTGTCGAGGATGGAAATCTGAAATTCATCAAACCTCATCGACGTGACACTGCCGGTATGTGGTCCGCCCTGCGACTGGCTCACGAAGATTCAACCTTGGGAGGTCAAATGCATCTCTTGCATAGACTAATCACCACTTGTATGGAAGGTGATGATGTGGAAACTCACATCAATGCTCTCCACCGCACTTTTGAGAAACTTGATTCTCTCATTACCGATGCTGCTCCCCTTACCGTCGATGAAATCTTCTCGACTTCTATCATGACCTCTCTTCCATCCGACTGGCTTCCTGTTATCACACCTTTAATGCAACAAACTACAGTGGTTAATTCGGCCACTGTTATTCGCGCTATTTGAAATGGAGCGACACGAAGAAAGACTTCGTCCAATCTCCTGTCACCTTCTGATGTTGTCGCTGATCGAGCAAATGCGACTCCACGTTCATCTTCTACAGCTCCTCCATCTTCATCGAAGCCTCGTAACACCAAATTTTGTACCCACTGTGAAAGATCAAATCATGAGGTACAAACCTGCTGGATCCGTCAAGCGGAACGAGAAAATCGATCCTCTTCTTCCTCACGAGGTGGATCCAGCTCAAACCGAGGAGGACGCCACTCTTCATCGAATCGATCATC